AGCTCCCCGAATGTCTCCGGGCCTGGGGCAGGACCAGACACAGCCCGCTGCAGGCGCCGTCCAGACCGCGCCGCGCCACTGGGGCCCCGCTGCAGGCGCCGTCCAGACCGCGCCGCGCCACTGGGGCATCCCCCGACTCCCCAGCGCGGCGGCTGGGAGGGACAGCTTTCTTGCTCAGAGGAGGAAGCTCAGCATCCGGGGAGCCCCGGCAGGAAGGGGCCATTAAGTGCTTAGGTGGATTACCCCAGGACACGGAAACCTGCCGTGCACAGTGCACAGGGCGGCGCTCGGAGCAGACAGCCCTGCGGAAGATGCCCTGGCGCTGAGGCAGGGCACCGGTACCGGCTTGCCTCTCCTGGTGGTGGGCGGCTTTCCCAGGAAGCAGCTGCTGGGAGCCCTGTAGGAGGGCCCAGCCTGGGTCCCCCGGGTCTCTGCCGCTCCCCTGCCTGCCCCTCTGGGCTGGTTTTGTCCATCAGAGCATTACACACCCCCAGCCCTACTAACCGCCGGTCCACTCTGGCCAGTGCTGTGCGGTGGACAGCCTGGGCCCTTCCGGGCTGTGCAGGCCTGTGTGTCCCAGGGCTCACTGGAGGCAGCTCCCGCCTCTCCCGACCAGAAGCCCCTGGCAGAGGGACTGGCGCTCCTCCCTGCCTGGGCTGTGGAGGCTCACAGCCCCACCATCTGGGGCTCCTGCTCAGACCGCATGGTGCCAAGCTGGGGCCCATCCTCAGGCACTCTCAACCCCTCCCAGGATCTTCTCTCTCCGCGGCCACCTCCTCCCTCCCAAAGCCTGGGAGCTAGCCCCTCCCCCGCCCACAGCCGGTCTCAGCAGAAGGCTCCAGACAGTCACCATGACACATACTCAGTGGAGCAGAGCCCCAGCTGCTCTGCATGCGCGCCACAGCCCCTCCCACAGCCTCACCTGGCTGAGACTCACCTGTGCCTGTCCCTGCTGGCTCGCTGATGGCAGGGACGGGAAACCAGGGCTGTCGGTGCAGGAGAGAAGGGAAAGGGAGGCCGAGGGCAACACCTTGTATGGTCCTGGGTCCCTGCCCCTGTGAGCTGCCTGGGCTTGAGGCCCTGGGAAAATGTTGGACACGGGTTAGCAAACAGCCCAGAGCTAGGCAAGGGCAGGCAGGGACCTCTCCTTCGGCCTCATCTGGCCTCTGACCCCCAAGCTGGGGAGAAGTGTGACCAGAAAGGCCTGCGCTGAGCGAGGGCAGGTGACAGGCGTGGGGGGCTGTCAGGGCCTGCGCTGCGCGGCTGTGGGCAACAGGTGTGGGGGCTGTCAGGGCCTGCTGCTCTTCAGGCCTTGGGCTCTTCTTGGAAAGAGCATGGCTCGGTCTAGCCCCAGGGCCAGGCCAAGGAGCAGGCAGCCAGGCCTCCATGATCATCGTCTCCAGAGCAGGGCAGGCCTCTTTGCCTTGGAGCCCCTAGACAGGACGCCGGCCGCTCAGGATGAAGGTCTTCGGGCCAGTGCTGCTGGCCGCCCTGCTGGAAGTGGAGCTTGGTGAGTCTCCCTGGCCCCCAACCTTTGCAGGAGTGGCACCCTCCTCCTGAACCCCCTCTCCCAGGGGTCCTTCGGGACCAGCTCCCAAGAGACCTGTCATGCTCCTCCATCCTCTACTCCCACAGAAGGTCTCAGTTGTGTCTAGCCATCCTGCTGTCACCCTGTGTTCAGTGTCCCTCGAACCCCTTCCCTGAGGGACAGGGTCTGGAGTCAGTGCCTCCTTTGGTCTCCAGCCCAGCGCCTGCACCCAGCAGTTGCTCGGTGCATGTCCACAAGAACAGGGTGGTGGTGGGCCTGCCTGGGAGGGTCCCTGGGAGGCTCCCCAAGCTGGCTACAGCGTGGGGCTCTGCGCAGCCTCCTCCCTCGTGTGCTTCTCCTGCACCAATCAGAAGAGCAATTGGTACTGCCTAAAGCCAACCACCTGCTCCGACACAGACAACTATTGCGTGACCATCTCTGCCGCAGCTGGCATAGGTGAGTGCCACGGGGCTGGCCAGCCTCGGAGCGCCACCGCGGCCCGGTGCAGGCTGGTCCTTTTGCCTGCGGCCAGCCTCTGTCCCCTCACCACCTTGTTTCCCGTACAGGGAACGTCGTGGACTTTGGCCATACCCTGAACAAGGGCTGCTCCCCGGTGTGCCCCGGCCCGAGTGTCAACCTTGGCGTGGCATCCGTGGGCACCCACTGCTGCCAGAGCTTTCTGTGCCACATCAGCGCG